CAGCTTCTTTAGTAATTTCTCAAAGAGGTGTTCGTACCTCTTCAGTAATCGCAAAAGAAGAAGTTATGGAATGGGTCATTTTGACCCATTTGGTAGTTCTAGTCTTAATGTAGAATCCAAAGGTCTAATTCAAACATGAACTAAGACAATTCCTAACATAAGAGCAGACCTAACCTAGACCTTGATAACCCAAAATATTTAAATAGGAATCGATTTCCTGAATCCAAATTCTGACCTGAATCAGATCTAGATCTAAGCTAGACCTAATTCAGATATTAACATTAGAACTATCCATTTGGTAGTGGTCAGAATGATCCATTCCTGATGCCTTCTTTTTGTAATTATTGAAAAGATAACAGACGTTCCTCCGAGAAGTTATTAAAAAAATTTATTTAGCAATACCAAAGCTGAATTGTAAATCAATTAGTCTCAATGGATGCACTGTTAGAGTATCTATAAAGGAACTTCAGAAAGTCAATTTAACTGCTCGGTAGTTTTAGTGTTGATAACCTAACCTCAACGTAGGCATTGACAAACTAACCTAAACCTCTACGTAAACATAACCTAAATTCCGAACTGACAAACCTAAACCTAAATTACTCTGCGGGACTAAAAACGTCGCTTGTGTTAATCAGGAATATTTCAAACACATCAGCAGCTATCCTCTAATCAGCGATCCAAGATGAACGTTCAGCTTCAGAGGCCAAGAGAAATATCACAGGCCCATAGTGTACCATGTATTCAATCACCATAACAACTGCTTTCAGTGTATCAACGTCCCATATCGCTTTAAATGTTTCGGACAGCTTCTGTACATAACAATCCCCGGCGTGGCTGCAAGCTTTTCACGATCCCCTTTCAAGGTCACTTCACGGTGGCCCGGTGGGACCCTGAAGAGCCTGCGGCGCAATCACGCCTGGGGGTCAAGGGTTGACGAAACAGGCTGTTTGTTTTTGCCGGTGGCGCCCTGTAGATTTGGCCCCGTGCCCTTCTATGGACTTCACCTGCAGCGACGGCTCTTGCATATCGAAGAGCTCGGTCTGCGACGGATTGGACGACTGCCCGATGGCAGAAGACGAGCTTTACTGCGGTATAAAAATCACTTACGTTCTATCGACGGACCGTTCAGCGTCTAAATATTGGGTCGTAACATAAATATGTTTGGATACATTCAAACTCCTTCTTTATTATTATCCTATTATCATTTTATTATTTTTTTTTTCATTATTAGCATCGTGAACTTGTTAAGCAATGCAAGATTTTAATTAACCGGAAGTGGCTTTTTGTTGATCACAGTTATGCATATTTGCAGTAAGTCGTAATTGAAGGTTTAAAATCAAGACATATTCGACCTTGGATCTTAACGTATTTATATTACTTAATTTGGTGAAATATATTATACATACGGATGGTCGGATACTTCTGTGAGCAACTGTATACATTAAGCGAAGTAGAGTTGGGCAAAATGTGATCTGATTAGTGGACTGCGGATTTTTACAGAAATTCGAATTTTAAAGATGATAATTAATAGTGACATAGAATTACGATAGAGAATGATTCTTGTTAAGGGATATTGTAAGAGGCAATGCACTTTCGAGATTTTATATATTTTTCTGGGTAATATGCGTTCTTGCAATTTACCACATTTAAATTTTTGATGTATAAGAATGTACAATCTTCTGAATAGATATTATTGAAAGTATTTCAAATGCAATAGTTGATTCAATTGCAAATCATCCTTCGTAATCATCAGTTGTCACTAATTTGCAATTAAAATCAAAATAATTCTAATGAATCTAAATTAATAATTACAGCTAGAAATTTACAATGAATTAAAAGGTTGCATTTTAATCATTGACTTTAATGTATTATCAAATTATATTTTGCCCAATTCTGAATCGATCACGTGACGCGAACGGTCCTTCTTTCTGCTTGCTGAAATGACCATCGATTTTTGGGGCTTTCCTGTGACACTGTCAGGCACAGATCAGGAAGTCGTGATAAAAAAAATGAAAGCTTCAACGCTCCTCGATATTCACAGAAAAATTCTAAATGAGATACAGTTCCGATGCCTGCATTATCGTTGACTGTACCACTGCCAGACTGTTTTTGCTATAGTGCGTACTATGTATTGCAAGCCCTAGCCAATGGCTGTCGCGCATTTTATGCGACGTTGTCACGTTGCGAGACGCAGCATTGCATTTCCTTCTGACAAGAATCAAAACCAAAAAAAGGAACTCCCAATGGATCTCAGTCGTTTGGAGTATTTTAGTTTATCATCTACAGGATTGTAAATTATAATTTACTTTTTATTTGTTTTCATCGACAGGTACCTGTCAGTTTAAAAGAATTTTTATTTGAGATTGAAAGTCTCTTTTCCAGTAAAAGTGTCTAACAGCATACGAATTCTTATTTTAGCAATCAAAGTTCCTAGATTTTCAACATAATTGCGACCTGACGCTATACAATGACCCCTCTGCTGTAACACGCTATAATTTGATGGATCATGAAACTCTCATTCCACCCAATACCGTTAATCCGTATTGACTCTGAGGTTAATGAAGACAGACGTCCATTGGATAACGTCGAATCTCCTGAAATTCCTTGAAAACACCACATAGAAATTTATTCTGAGGTCTGACCAATTACTGGTTTATATCACTGAAAATAAGAACCGTCGAGATTGAATTTAAAACTGATTGACCCCTTTCCTTTATTTTTGTGATGGAACAGCGTGAGTTCGATGGACGTTGAAGCTTTTATGGTCGACCCTGCTAATTGTGCATTAATAGCTTGATGAGCGTGAACCTCATCCCCACCCGCGCCCCTACACAGCCCCAATATGGTAATTAATTGTGCGTAGAAATAGAGGAGACGATAACTTCATCGTTGGACTGTAGAACTAACAGTGTCCGGTTAATCGATCAATTAACTGTCGGAACGTGATCCTGTAACGTACGAGCCCCGATACAACATCCCTGACTCGTAACAAGCAACTGCTTTCGTGTTACTGTTTATCGAACGCTTTCGTTGTTCGAGCTTCTACAGCTTCTGTGGTATCACAATAGAAGCGGAACTCCGAGGAGAATAGTGTACACGATTGTAGTGGCCCACCTTTAAGTCAAGAACGATTATCCTCTGTCGAGGAACGGGAGAGGTCTACGTCGAGCGAGGATTAATTTGAGCCTTTGCATCTTTGAGCGGAAGTTTTTGTCTAATTTTTATGTTTTTGTTGAAAATCGGGAGAAAATTTTGGTTCAAATTTTCATCGAAGTTCACTTGTTTTTTGAAATACGAGTATGAGATTATGAATCTCAAATGTGTCTTAGAGTTCCTGGAACACGCTGTGCTCAAAATTTTTTTGAGCCATTTTCGCTTGATGATTCTATACTATGCTGGGTGATCGTAAAGAGAACACATAGATCTTATAGTTACAGGATCAAGTTTTATTTCAATTTATCCTGGAAGTTGCCTCAAAGTCAACTTAAAATGTAACTCAAATTTTAGTTAGAATTTTCTTGGTTTTAAAATCTTTTCAAACTATCGTGAAATGAATGTACAAATCTGAATGAAGTATTGAAGTTTACAAATAAAACTTGGCTCAAATTTCCTCAAAGTTGGCTCAAATTGTGATTCCAAGCTCGCCTAAAAGTTTGACACAAAGCTCGACTAAAACTGAACCTGAGGTTGTTTAAACTTCGCTGAGATCTTAACTCAAAACTTCACTCAAATACTAATCAAACCCCACTTCGTATAAAACAGTTACTCATAAATCTCAAATGAGCCTACGAGTGTCAAGAGCAATTTCGTGCCAAACGAACTTTCCTCCCGTTCTTCCGAATGAGAGTCATCCGCTTCCCAGCAGCGTTGATCGTCAACATTCATTGTGTACATAAATGTGTGTTCTCTGCTCATATATATACCCGCTGCGACCACACAAACGACCGCCACACAAAACAAACAGAACGAGAATGCACACCCACGCAGTTCAAATGCCTCACCGGAAAGTGCATCGAGGGTGTCTACAGGTGCGACGGCCGTCCGGACTGTCCAGATCACAGCGACGAAGATTGCGCGAACGAAACCATTACACACGTCACTCAGCCTACCAGTACGCCTTTTTATCCCTTTCATTTCATTTTTCAGTTTTCGTTTGTCAATCTTTTCTCGGTACAATACCTTCTCGCGCGAGAAACCTCATAACCGATACTCGAAACAAAAAGAAAATATCAAATCAGTAAATAATCAACAAGAATTCCGAAGAGTTTCATTCTTCAATTACATAAATATCTTCTTTTATGAACAGTCGCATCGGTTTGAGTGTTCCTCGTGAATAAATTGGTCCAACGGGAACTGTCAGTTAGAAAATGAAACGCATCCACGACTGAAGCGAGTTTGGCGATGTTTGAAGATGTTTGAACAAGTGGAATTCGAGGGTTGGCCACTTCTCTCGCGGTCCGCTTCAAACCAATTGAAACAAGTGGACTTCTATGTCATCTAGACAGTTCCCTGACCCTTTCATATGTGTTTCAATGTCTGGTCTTGGACTGTGATACGATTCCTCTCTTCCTCTGTTCTGTACTCTGCATGAGTTTGAAGCCTATCTAGATAAAACTTGCCAGTTGTTTGTCCAGCACTTTGCGACGGGGACCATGCGACCGGTCGCCCCAAGACCTTTAATTAATTAGAAGGGATTACATATCCGCTTTCTTTGCTTTGGCTGACAATATAAGCCCACTCGACTAATTCTTTTATTTGTCCTGGAACGTTGGGGAGCAAAGTTATGGCAGCGTGGCCCCCGGTCTTTATGTTTGCTCCCTCGCTAGAGTCGCTTCGTTTGGAAGTAGTTTTGGCAACGCGTTGTTTGTGTGTATGTACGCCCAGCCCTGCCTTGGCCTGGCTGGACCGCTCAGAGTACGAGGGAATGCGATCCAAGCAGGGAAATGCGTTGCGACGACGGCAAGTGTGTTCTACTACGACGCAAATGTGACAATATCTTCGATTGCCTTGACGGCAGCGACGAGCTGGGATGTGGTAAGAGCTTTATATGGTCCACCTCGGGTCACTCGGAATCTAGTACACGATCATTGGCGTAGATCGATGTTTGAGGACTGTATTGGGATCGTCAAACATGGTCAAACATCATCACTTGATTAGAAATAACATTTCTAATTGCTTTAATGAAAATTTTAGGCGAAAGGTTCAAGGAGATTTACTTTTGTTTCACTCTTTTAGTTTTGTGTTATAAGTATAACCTGCAATTTAATTTAGTGGTTTTAAATAATTTTGTTATTCGGTCGAAAATTGTTCTGCATTATTACAAGATTACATGGATATAGAGCAGTCTTCGATTGAATTCCAAAGCAAGTGGTTAAAACTGCTTCGAACATGTTCAAACTAAAACCCAGTGGTAGAGAAACTTGTTTGGATCTGAACAGTGACAAGCTTGATCCTCTCGAGCCGTTTAAGCCTGAACTATGACAAACCTAAACTACTTAGAGTCTCGATATCAAGATATTTGGAATTATTTGGAGAAACCGGAATTTCTGAGTGACCCGTGCGATGCATCCCTCTCTCCTCTTCATCAATCGTGATCCCCGCTCACCCGAGTGAACCAACCTGCCAAGTTAACGCTTTCTTCGTGTGCTTTACACGTGTTCATACCGCCAAGGTGTCTGCACTCCGGCTGAATGGAAATGCGCCAGCGGTGAATGTCTACCGGAAATCGAGAGATGCGACGGCGTGATCCAGTGTGCTGATGGATCCGACGAGGATCGATGTGGTAACTATAAACCCTGCCCATTCCTGATCCCCAATTCAACCATGAAAACTGGCCTTTCACCCTCTCTCCTCTACCTTGCTGCCTATCGAAAGAAAATCGCGTTTGACAAGGTTTGACAAGGTTTGACAACGACAGTCAGATGCATGCAATGTACCCTCTCATAACACTGGAACTACCTAATCAAACTAATTCATTTCAAATGAATTTCTTTTCCAATTTTTACAAATATGCATATCCTGTTTATTTAATTAATTGACTAATATGTTTCGTGATATACAAGAATAGAAACTAATTTAACTGATGGTTCTAGTGTCAATCCGCATCTGACTAATTTATTTTCGACATTCTCAGCACACTGAGAGACCATCGTCCACCCTTAACACTGGCAATTCAGAGTAACTAGCAATCGCATTCCCTCACCGTCGATAAGCATATGTGTTACGAGATCCATTACGAAGTGAACAATTGGTAGAGGGTTTAGTGGATGTTCCTAGTGTGAACACAGGATCGTTTGATGAATTCGTGTTGCATGCCTTTATTGTCTGCATGTGTTTAGCGTTTGTACTTGCATGTTTCATTGGTCTTTCGACAACTTGAACCGAATGTGTAAGTACTTCCTAAAGTTCTGGGACTCTGTGGGACCAACGTGTATGCGAGGTAGCTTGGGGAAAGGGTGGCTGCAGAGTTGAACGTCCTCTTCAGCACTGATCAGATAATAAAAATCATTTTTTCCCTAATCTTCCTTCAAACTTTAAAGTCTACTGGATCTATACGATCTACTGATAATTAATGATCTACTGAATTTAAAGGATTTCTAGTTTTAAAAGACTTCCTAGTCCCAAATATTTTTTAATTTCTAAAAACTGTTGAAGTCTTAGTCCTAAAACAGGAGATCCTGAAAATTCTTCTGATCTTTGCAAATCCTTTGAAGCCAAAGGACTTCTTCTAACAGATCTGGTCCTAAAAATACTGCAATCTCAGAAGATTTTAAAAGCTTAATAAACCTCAAAAGTTCTAGTTTTGCAAATTACTCAGTTCTCAAGGCTTGACAAACTGAAAGCTCTTATAATTCTTAAAGATTCTTCAGTCTCAAAAAGCTTCTGATACCTAGCAAAATCCTCTGATTTATAAAGTGTCAAGCATTAAGAATTAAAACAAATAATGAAGAAATGTTTATTTTTATTTATCTGGGAAAATTAATCTTGCTGAGGGGGACATTAAACTGCTGCCATCGGGGCCACTTTTCTTGATCCTTGTATCCCTTATTCTGAACACCACTGCACGATGCTGTGACGAAGAGCCACGTAGCCATCTCGAGATCACGTTGTAGTGAACGAATGTCCGGCTGGAATGTTCCGCTGTAACGACGGATTATGCATCGACAGTAAGAAACGCTGCGACGGCCGACCCCATTGCAGGGACCGCTCAGATGAGATAGATTGCGCTTCTCCGGGCTCCGGGCTGGACACCCCCACCTTTGGTACTTGTTTCTTTTCCTACCAGCGACGTATCTCAGGCTCGCCAACTTTAAATACACCTGCGAGCCCACGATATAAAATTGCCCTCGATGCGATCGTAATCAAGACTGAACATCCTCGGATCGTAGGAAATCTACGTTGAAGTTAGGTCTATCCTGAAGATCGAACTGGAAGTTGAGGATAGGTCGGAATGAAATCGAATTGATGTAATGGTTTTTTTTAGTTGAATTTTTGTATAATTAGTCTGTGTTATAGAGTGGTCTAACTTAAAGGGTTGTTAAGTTTACATTTTTTAGATAGATTTGAAATTGATTTGAGGTAAATTTGAGATAAACTTGTGATATATTGTTAAGATGGATTTGAGATAGATTTGAGATAAATTTGAAATAGTTTTGTGAAATATTTTTAAAGTAGATTCAAAACAAATTTGAGATAGGTTGAACTTCATTTAAAATATATTTTAAATACATATAACATAGATTTAGAATAGATTCGCCATAAATTTGACATATATTTCAAACATATCTAACATATATTAGCTCTATCTCAACAGATCAAACTAAAACACATATACCTCCACATCCTCATTGTACATAAGTAATCTATCGTAAACTTCGATCTTTCTCAAAGAACCATCGACCTCAAGGATAGAATAACGATTGAACTAACATCGATAACTTTATCATTTACACAAACATCAATTGCAACTGAAAAGTCTAAAGATCTCGAAGGACCCAGGCTCGATCAGACGCGAATTCGAGGCAATTTTCCTTGATTGAAGCCAATCAAGTCGCAACGAAAATCACTCCTGTCTCATTCTCGGCCAATTTTTTCTCTCAGTGTCTTATCTGCCTGTTTGTTTCCCTCTGTTGCAACCACCTCGACCCTCCCCTCGACCCCTACCCCCCACAAACTCGTAATTTCATCAAGGAAAGTCAGACACTCGGCAGATAAATTATTAAACGTCGAGTTTTGACGTTTCGCTCGTTGATCGTTGTAAAATGGCGGCGAATCTTCCGGTCGAGTCCCTTAATACCGACGATTCCGGCGTTCTTGAGGGAATGCTTCGTCGCCCACGCATGCACTCGTTCTCCCGAAGATTGCAATTTCGTCTGGGTAGCACGCGTCAAGCGGAAAACAGAATTCTTCGGGAAGAGGTTGCTCGATCGAACGGGAACGGCGTATTAGCTTAGGCGCCATCTTCTCGGTACTTTTCGACAACATTACGCTGACCTTTCAACGAATATTCTGTCATTAACCCTTTGCACTCGAAAATTTTTCTATGGAAATATTTAACGTCTACTTGTGAGATATAGTGAGATATTTTAGATATATTTAATGGGATATATTTTCCAGGGGTGACTGTTTTGACAACTAATTTAGAGGGAAATCACACTTATATTAACACGTTGACTGCCACGGTGGTCACCAGTGACTGGACCTTCCACATTACTTCAAAAGAATTATAAGAAAATTGATATTGAATCGAAATATTTAATAACACAATAAGCTAGATAATAGTATTACATGAGTACTGTAATACTAAAACATTAACGATTATTTCAAATACTATTTGCCTTTATTATAAAGGAATAAATCTTACTATAACAATACGTTCGAAATTCTCAGTCAACGTATTAAGAAAGTAACAAGTATCGAATCTGGAATAATATATTGCAATCTTTTCTTCTTGTCGAATTTCACTTTGAAGAGGTGAAACCACCCCTTGGAAAAATGCAAATTTTAAATAAAATTTAAACAAAAAATACATTGTTCTTTCAGGCATATAAAATTGTAAAATGAAAGTTTGATATCAACCATTCTCAAAATCAAAATTTTGAAAATTTTGTCCTTTTTGAGAACTTTTATTTTCCAATTTTACAGGCGTGAAAGGAAAATGTATTTTTTGTTTAAACTTTTTCTCGCTTTTCTTACCGTTTTCAAGATTATTCGCGGGAAATAAAAATCTTCATTCTTTTCAAGGGGTGGTTTCACCCTTTTAAAGTGAAATTCGACACGAATAAAGACTTGACTTATTCTACTTCCAGATTCGTGACCTTTCTTTGTCAGTTAAATACTTCATTTGAATATTTCATACATTGATGTATCATGTAAAATCTAATATTACATATCCAATTGTATAATTTTGTTTTTTGTTGGACTATATTTCATTATTTCTTAACACTCGAACTAATTTTTCATTGTCAATTATATGTAATAAGTTCTCTTGTACTGTTTATTTTGATAACTAATTTTATACTGTTCTGCTACTGAACTTCGCGTTTATTTTATTGTCTTTTTATTTTTAATTTAATTTAAAATTTCGTTTTCCACTTTTCGTTTTCCATTCGGTACGTTTTTCCTGTTGAGTTCGTTAATATTTTCTGTTTTCTTTATTGTCAACTGTAATTTAATTTTTCACGTTTCATTGTTTCTTTTTGTTAATTCGACAGTTCCCTTCCTTTTTATAGTTACGTTTCATCAGTTTGTTCTTTGATTGGAATTTTCCAGTACACCCTTCCCAATAAATTTCCTTAGCGCATTTTTTCTCGCGCAATACGTTCGATTATATTTTCGTTTCATATTTAATCTTCGTTTCATTCTTCCATTTTAATTGCGAACAACAAATATAGAAAGTCTCTCTTGAAATCATAGTACAACAAAGAAGAATGTAGACACGAAAACCTAAATCGAAAATGTGAGATAAAGTCAATGTATTTAATGGAACAGAAACTTCGCAAGATTTCTCACAGTGATTACTCTTTCAACTTTCTTGAACATCGTAGATCCTAAAGAATATTTAGTTCACTCGATAGGTTATCATAAAATTTCATTTTCTAATAGCATGACCACCACGAAAACGTGTTTATGAGCAGATATACCATAGATAATTGCTGAGTCAACTTTTTAGCAACTTCCGAATTATCTTGCAAGCTGCAATTAGCAATTTTTTGTCCGCGTCGTTCCCTCGATTTTTTCTTCAATTTAATTACTGTGATTCTTTTCCCGTTTATTAACCCGTTGACCGCGCTCGGCGCGCCGCGTTTATTATTTCACTAAATTTATATACTAATGATCATATTCCTGTATACGTTGCATAGCAACTGAACAAATCGAAGTCCCCTTTTGTTTGGAACAACGCGATTCAGTTGCCGGGAATAATTACACGCGCAACAACGTGCTTCGGAACGATGTTGGCGGTCTTTTGTTGCGGTACACCTCGCGTTCAAAGAGTTAAATGTTTCTATTCAAACGTTTTTCTATGGTGATCTTGAAGAAGGAGCGACAAACGAATTTTGCCGAGCACTGAAAGAATATATTTTGAATAACTTGGAAACAGAAGGTGTGTACGTTTTTCGTTCGTAACTGCAATAATCGAAATTACTTCGTATTTAACGGTTGACGATTGTAGATTAATCACCGACAAATGGTACTACAATTTATTACCTTGGTTTTTGCAAATTTCGGTTTCAGTTGTAAATTGTTAACAATGAATCATTAAACTGATTAATCGAAATAATTGAAATACTGAATAATATGTAAATTTCGTATAGAGATTCGAAAGGTCAGCGTAACAAGTGTTTCCCTCAACTTTCAATTAAATATTAAAATTCTTCTTATATGTCAATTCAGCATTGAGATCCTCTCTCCACTTTAAATTCAACAGTTTTCTATCGACTTCCAGTTTAACGTTAATATTTCCTCTCAACTTTCACTTCAACATTAAAATTTACCTTCACCTCTCAATTCAACATTGCAATTCGTGTCAAAATTCAATTTAACAGTAAAATCCCTTCTCATCTCTTAATTCAACATAACAATTACCTATCATCTTTTAACCCAACATTGCAATTCCCCCTTAATTTCCTATTCAACGCTGAAATTTCAGTTTCAACACTTAACCCCAGTCAGCAGATGAATTCGAGCTACTCTTCCTGACGTTTGTTTATCGCGCGGTGTGTTTCCTGTTGAGAACCGAGGGAACGCGGCTACGTATGGCCGCGGAAACGAGAGTCATGGGTGAAAAACGAGGAGAACAGAAGCCAAGGGAATGGAAATCGATGCGTGCGCGCGGGATCGCGAGAGCCACTCTCGCCGGTTCTTCCCCGGGTCGCGCGTCGGTCTTCAAGGCGGCAATTAAGAAGCTGTAACTAATGCGAGGGCCCGGCACGGCCAGACGAGCGGGAGCCGTTAATCTCGTTTCGTCATTCTATCGACCGTGTTCTCCTCTTCGACTCGCGGACGTTGACTGCTCGCTTCGGACGCCCCCTTTTCGAAAATCGGCATTTTATCTATCAATCATCTACAAAAACACGACGTCGGAATATTTAAAAATGATCTAGAAAAAAGTTCTTTGGCTTTTGAACATTATGTTCGAGTAGTATACTTTGTTTTTAAGGAAGACAGACCTTAGACTGAAAACAAAAGTCTAGTTTTTAAATTTTGGAAGACTTTGTTTTTTGAAACTTGGATTAAAACAGTGTGTGAAAGAATAAAGTTCTTTGTCTTTTGAAGATCTTACGAGTAGTATATTTTGTTCTTAAGGAAGGCAGCTCTTAGATTGAAAACAGAAGTCTGTTTTTTTAACTTTGACAGACTTAGTTTTTTAGATTAAAACTGTGTGAAAAAATAATGTTCGTTGATTTTTGTAAATCTCGTGTGAATAACAGATGTCTTCTTTTTGTTTTTGAGGAAGATAGTTCTTAGATTGAAAATAAAGGTCGGTGTTTTGAATTTCGAAATGTTTTATTTCTTGAAATTCGAATTAAAACGGTGTGCGAAAGAATAAGGAAAGTTCTTTAACTTTCGTAAATCTCGTGTAAATAGTAGAGTCGCTTATTTTTGGTTTTTAAGGGCAGTTTTTAGAATAAATGTTACTGTCGATGTTTTGATTATTGAAAAATATTATTTTCTGAAATTTGTATTAAAATACTGTGTAAAAAAGAACAGGAAGCTCATTGGCCACTGAAAATCACGTGTGAATACATTGTAAAGTATATACATTTCAACTTTTCCATTTTTCTACAATTAAGAAGATAATTCATTTAAATGTTCCTTATTTTTAAGAAAAACAGACAGACATTTGAAGACTTACACTACAAAATTTCTATCACCGATAACAATTGCTATTGTTTCCTAGTTCACCTCATAAAATTGATTTACAATCGCTCACGAAATACAATATAAAAATAACACCAACATTCATTAATTTCCATTTCAATTCTGAATCAAAATAAATTCCATCAAATCTATTCCGCATTATTTCCACGGCGAATCGTTCCATCGCTATTTCCGTAGAACACAGCACCGCGCGGTTCGGAGTCTCGAATTTTGAAAACCGCTGATGCTGCTTCACGCGCGAGCACGCACCCTCGACCGACTTTGAAGACGTTTTTCTCGGGGACGAAGGTCCGCGTTGAAAAAGCGAAAAAAAAACAGCTTTTATTCCTATCAAGTTTCGCCCGAAGATTCGCCACTCGCGACGATTTAATTTCTCCCCGAAAAATTCCCTGAAAAATAGAAGAAACGGAAAAAGGGGGGAAAAAAGGGGAGAAAAACCACCCCCCACGGCGACACCTCGCGCACAATTTATTCGAACAAAGTGGTTATTATTTTATTCGGCTGGTTCCCGTCGCT